CTTTTGAAATCCAAGCAGAGCGCTTTGGCAGCGGCCGGCAGCTCTGCGCCAGGACGGTGGGATGAGGAAGCCTTAACTCGCTCCCGCGTGAGGACACCTGGGGAGCCCTGCTGCAAAGTCTCCTTTGGCTTTGCTGCTGGTGGCTCCACCCGGTCTGTGCCCCACGTCTCCAGGTCTCTGCTTCTTGCTGCTCGGTGAACGTTCCTCCTCAACAGCCGGCGGGGGTGGGGGGCGGGGGCGCGGAGCAGTAAGCAAGAGCTCTGGTGGCCACCGCTGAGCCCTCCCTCTCCTCCACGCATTCAGATCTCGTTTCCTTTCTCCGTCCCCGCTGCCAATACCTCACCCAGTCAGCGGGACCTCGCCCCTGGCTGTCCCCAGTCTGGGCCAGCTTCCCGTCCATTGTCCACACTGAATCAGAGGGCTCTTTGACAACGCCAACTGTCACTCCCTCGTTGAAGCCCTTTGTGGTCTCCTGTTGCTCTCAGTACAGGATCCAAACTGCCCAGCATGTGTCCCAGGTTCCTTGGGATCTGATGCCTGCTTACCTGCCCAGTGCCCTCTTTCTCCAGATCTCGCCTTCCCATATTCCCTCCCTATCCCAACAACGGCTTCATCTCACCACCCGCCCACCATGCGGCAATCCTGCCAGAACACTTGCATGTCCGTAATTATACCACTTTCTCTTTCGCTTGGGCCTTGGCACTTGGGAAGTGCACAGTGCCCTTCCTTCTTCCGTCCCCCACGACCCTAGCCTGGATAACTACTCTTTCCTTTAGGATTAAAGCTTAGACATCATCTCCTCTGAGAAAGCTTCAGAGAGCCCGCTCCAAGGCAGGTTAGCCACCCTCTTCTGATTTGCGGTGGCTGAGTAGTGGGTTGCTCTCCCCCCACCTCCTCTGGAAACACTGTGTTTCTTATTCCTTCTTCCCCAGTCTAACCCAGTGACCCGCTCTAAACTAAGCCCTTAATAAACATTTGTTGAAGTGCGCAGATGCGGTGCCAACACCAGGTGGCGCTGCGGCCACGTGCCTGGGGAGGGCATCCTCTTTCTGACCCTGCTCTGGCTGGGCTGGACCGCCTCTGCTGTCATCATTGGGCGGGCTCCTAGAGGCTCAGGGAGGGTCTTCTGCAGTCAAGGGACGCTTTATGCCGTGCAGTGACGTCGGTGACTCACGTTTGGGGACAGACTCTTGCCCACGTGCCTGGAGACTTAATGCACACTCCAGAAGCCCAGGGTGTCACCCTTCTTCATCCAAACCCTTCCCTGCCGTGCTTTCTTTGAAACCCCCAGTTCTTACCAAACTTTGTTTCCTGTCCTGCTTAACCATGGGACTTCAGTGGTTAATCTTAAATCAAATTTAAGATTCTACGCTATTCAAGGGCTTGCTTCTCAGAGTCATCCTTCCTCTCTGACACTTGTGACTTGAAAACAGCACACAGAACATATTAGCTGTTTGTCCATGAACTGGGTAACTAGTGATGAAAGCGAATGGTCAGCATGGGCGTTTCAAGAATCATGACAGGAGAGGATGGACTTCTTCTTCCTGAATATACCAAAGTCACCTCCAGAGGTCACCACGTGCGTGGTCACTGTGTAGGGTCGGCCACGGGGGCTAGAACCCGCAGGATGCTTTCCTGGACTCTGCCCTGCTCTCCTGTGGGTGGATACTATCTAACTGTGCTTTGAGATTCTTTCGTCTTATTTCACAAACGTGGTGAAGTACAAAGAGCTCTGCTTGAACGTCAGAAGGTCTACGTTTGGGTGTCAGCGAAGACTTTGGAGCAAGTTGCTTTCCCAGCGCATGCCTTAGTTCCCCACTCTGCTGGGGGAGGAGGGGCTTGGGGCCATCTCACTGTCCTGATGGGGTGTGTGAATTCCTGGGAGCCACATCGATGGTGCCCCAGTTGCTTTATCTGTGAAATAGAAATCATAGCTGTAACTACTCATAGGGCTTTTTTTTTTTTCTTAAATTGAGATGGAATTTACATAACATGAAATTAGTCATTTAAAAATATACCATACAGATATACATTTGTAATGTTGTGGAACCACCACCTGCTAGTGAAATCTGGGCTCCTGAGGAACAGGGACAGACCTTAGTCCATCTTTGGGTTCCTAGCACCTAGCAGAATCTGACCAACAGTATCTACCCAACAGATAGCTGTTGAGTTAGTGAATGAGTCGATTCTTCTCACATGGGTCATGTTTACACTTATTACACAGAAGGACCAGGCAGGAGCATGGGAACAGTAGAGGATAACGCAGTGTTAATATGATCCCAAACCTGGGTCCACATGGAAGTAGTGCATCTGAACACTTGGTGGCCTTGGACAAGCGGAACCACAGTCTGTCCATCTGTTCATCTGTGGATGGACGTTTGGGTTGTTTCTGCCTTCTGGCTACTGTGAGGAATGCTGTTGCGAACATGATGCACGTGTATTTGTTTGAGTTTCTGTTGTCAATTCCGCTCCTAAGGTGTTTGTGAGGACGGGGCACGCGCTTACCACGAGGAGGGGGCACAATAAACATTGGTGATTGATGTTCTTAATTTTATCTTGAAGGTGTGTAAAAAGAGCCCCACATGGGTTCTTTCTCATGCTGTGTCTGACACACATGGGAGCCAGATTTCACCGTCTCCCCATTACTGGTTTTTAGCCTGTGTGTCTCTCCGTTCCCCGCCTGCCTATAGGCTGGTGTGGGAAACCAGAGTGGGGACAGCGGGGTGCGAAAGGCCGGGGACAAGTAGTGGACATGAGGATGTGGAGGTGAGTGGCGGGGGACGACCACTGGGCAGGTAGTGCTGAGCGCGGGGGAGGGGCAGGAAGGAGCAGACCCTGAAGGGGGTTTAAGAATGAGGAGGGCACACGATTGCTGATTGCTTCCGTTCCAGCTCCTGCGGTGAGAGGGCGGGCGGGGTGAGGCCAGGGCCCGCGCCTCTAGCAGCCCAAGGCCAGGGCTAGGAAGTGCTTGTATTGGAGAGAGTTCCGACTGTGGCTGAAGCCTTCCATGGGGGTGGCGTTAGGGCTGGAAGCTGGGATCAACCTCCAGGAGTTGTCACCTTGACATCAGGTGACAAAATAGTAACGGGAAAACGCAGGTTTTTTTTTTTTTAAGATTTATTTATTTATTTATTTATTTGAGACAGAGAGAATGAGAGAGAGAGAGAGAGCACATGAGAGGGGGGAGGGTCAGAGGGAGAAGCAGGTTCCTTGCTGAGCAGGGAGCCCGATGCGGGACTCGATCCAGGGACTCCGGGATCATGACCTGAGCCGAAGGCAGTCGCTTAACCAACTGAGCCACCCAGGCGCCCGAAAATGCAGGTTTTAAGAAAGCTAATGCTGCCAGGAAGACAGGTGATTTGGGGCCATGGGTGAGATTGTTGGATGAGTTTGAACACTGTCTGTACAGGCCCACTAGGAGCACAGAGGGAGGTCTCCAAAAGTGTGGTGGGTGGCCATCTGGAATTCTGGTAAACCTGTGCGGTCGGTGCTGGAGGAAGCAAGGGAGGATCCACCCAGCTTTGGGCAGAGCAGTTTCTTCTTGTGCAATAAAGCAGCCAGGACCTAACAGACAAAGGCCTCCTTCTTGCCCTGGTGTCCAAGAGAACTGAGAAGAATTACTCCCACTTGCATTCATGTCGTGGGAATCAGAATGCAGATCAAGAAGGAGGGAACCTATAAGTTGGCTCTTAGGAGGTGCGGTAGGAAATGAGGCAGTTGAGCATTCGCATCCCTGACTTATCTATTCTGGTCTCAGGTTTCAGTCTGAGATTCCCTCTCTCTAAAGTTAAATAATGACATCTTTGTGGGGAGAACTCACAGCTTGTATTGAGAGGAATAGCCTTAGAGAGCATGAATCTGAGGGTTGTTATCCCCGCTGAAAAGAATCTGCTCCTGGTGTGGCCCTCAGGAGAAGTGCCAGCACTTGGCCAGGGAGGAGGGGCCCTTGAGCCAAGGGCAGGTCCATTCCAACACCATCTTTTCTGCATTTGAATGCTGTGTCTGCCTACCCCTCAACTGTCTTGCTCCTTCATTCACAACTCACATTAAGAAAAGTAATTTCTAGAATCCCTCATTTACTGGGTCAGTGAGCTCATAGGAGGATTAGTTGTTTTTGGAACAGGGAGGAAGTGTAAGATCGTTTAATCCAATCCTTTCACTTGACAGAGGAAGAGAAACCAGAGGCCCAGAGACTTACTCAGATGTCACTGGGAGTGGGCTGGAGTCTGGACTAGAACTTGGGTCTCCAGGCCCCCAGCCCAGAGAGCTTTCCACTGTCCTGCACATTCTGAAAACCCAAGTTCACTGCAAGAGTTTGTATCTGGCTCAGGGACCTCTCAGGAGGGAGCTTCCCTTTACCCATCCTCTCCTATTTCTGAATATTTAAAGCACAAAAGCCAAACTGTAGACAAAAAAAGATATTATATCTATTTGTCAGGAGATAGTGTCTATTTACCATTTTCTGTCTTAAGAATCCAGGTATCAACGAACACTAACCTGTTAAAACCTGCTAGTTATGGGCAGGAATTATGAAGGCCCAGCATGGAGAATCTCAGTCAAGACAGAAACAATAAAAATTAATGTTTAGACCAAAGAAGAGAATACTAAATGTGGTGTCAAAGGGAATGTGTAGAATGCTAAATATAAGAATAAAGCCTAGAAGGGTGGCTCAAAAAGGAGAGTATAGGGAAGTGGGACTTTTCATTTTATGGCAGGAGGAGGGTTTCGGCAAGATGAAAGTGTATCTGGGAAAGGCTGTTTATTTATAACTGTTTTCCAGGCTGGAGAAGTCAGATGTCCGCAGGACTAGATAAGTAAGCAAGAAATACACCAGGCACATAGTTGGTCTAGCTAAAAGTTGGAAATTCTGGAAGGTTCGAGGCTTTTCCCGGGGAAATGGATGAGAGTGTTCTCCTTCTGGGAGAAGCTGCTGACCCTTTGCCCAGCCAGAAGCAGGTGATGAGGCCCAAGCTCTGCTAAGGTGCTGTGAATTCTCTCAGATGGCAGGGACAGCACGCCACGATCGGGAGATGGCGATCCAGGCCAAGAAAAAGCTCACCACGGCCACCGACCCCATTGAAAGACTCCGACTGCAGTGCCTGGCCAGGGGCTCTGCAGGCATCAAAGGACTTGGCAGGTAAGATCCAGGCCAGGGGGTGGCAGGGGGATGAAGTAAAGAGGCAGGACACAGGCGGGTGAGGCTATTACCAGCTCTATGACCTTGAGCAAGTCTTGGCCTCCTAGGGTCTCCGTTCCCTAGTTATAAAATGCAGTTTGGAAGAAGTGATCGCTGAAGTCCCTTGTGACAATTTTTAGGTCTTCGTCGCAGATTCAGCAAGGCTGTGTCTGCGACAAGAGAATACAGATACCGGGACAACTGGAAGTGAAGGGAGAGGCATGTGCAGGTCCAGGAGGCCCCCAGCAGGACATGGAGAGAGACACTCCCAGCAGCTGTGACCATAGCGGCAGACGTGGAAGAGGGAGGAGGTTGTTCTCAGGCAGTCCGGTCTTGCTCACCTCCGGCGGGCCACGGGAGAGAATCCCACTGCAGTGAATATCCCCTTGGCTTGGTAGGGCCTGTCCTCGGACCCTCTGATAGTGTGAGAAGTCCTCAAGACCAGGAAATCTAAGGAGAAAGAGATTGTTAGCCTCCAGTGGTCAGATCCTGTGCCTTATCTCTCTCTCCTTTTTTTAAAGATTTTATTTATTTATTTATTTATTTATTTATTTATTTATTTATTTACTCGAGAGAGTCCAAGCGGTGGGAGGGTGGTGGGGGAGGGAAAGGGACAAGCAGACTGCACTGAGTGCAGAGCCCAATGCAGGGCTCGATCATCCCACCACCCTGAGATCATGACCGAGCCAAAATCAAGAGTCAGACACCTAACTAGCTTATCTAAATTCCCATTTCAACCGTGATACACCTAGCTTCCACTATCTGCCATCTATTTACTTAATTGTTCAATTCCAGTATACCTTATAGCATATCAGAATTGTTAACTCAAATCTCCATGGGAAATATCTTTATCAACTAGAGTTCAGTGCTTATGTGTGGTTCCTTGTCCCTTTAGTCCTACAGACTCTACTCACTTCCACAGTTACTTAAGTCAGCATACCCCACCCCCACCTTCAGTGAGATTGTTTCAAACTTTTGTAATACAGTTAGGTTCTCTTGTCACTGTCTGCTTAAGTTAAATTCCCCTGACCTCCTAAATAATTTTTTGAAAATTTGTACACATTAAGGTTTACTCTTTGTACTATAAAGTTCTGTGGGCATTAGCAAGTGCATAGGGTCATGTATCCACCATTATAAAATTGTACAGAATAGTTTAACTGCCCTAAAAATCCCCTGTGCTCTGCCTGTTCTCTTCTCCCCTTCCCCTTGTCTTTTTACTGTCTCTATAACTTTGCCTTTTTCAGAATGTCATAGAATTAGAATCACATAGTACATTTTATTTTATGAGATGCTGGGAAGAGGCTCTCTAATTTTGGAAGGAGGGTACAGAACAAAATCTAGGGCTTCTGTATTTTACTTTGAAAAACCTTGAGAGTGGTTCATTTTTAAATCTTTATCCTTACACCTTGTTCTCTGTTTTTTTTTTTTTCTTTCTCTCTTTGTGTGTATGTGTGTGTGTATTTTCTTTAGAGTGTTTCGAATTATGGATGACAATAATAACCGAACCCTTGACTTCAAAGAATTTGTGAAAGGGCTAAATGATTATGCCGTGGTCATGGAAAAGGAAGAGGCAGAAGAGCTCTTCCGGAGGTTTGATAAAGATGGAAATGGAACAATAGACTTCAATGAATTTCTTCTTACATTAAGAGTAAGTGACCTCATGAATCAGTGTATCTGCTAAGTTTGGCTTTCACATGGTTTGGGTTGGCTATTTTGAGGTTTTGTTTTCAGAAGTTGTCAGTGTACTGTAGAGGAGATGGGAAGGAGATTGATAACAGGTTGAGGGTCTTTTTGGAGTAATTGTCATGAATGTTTAACAAACATTTTGTTTGTTAACAAACAAACATGCAAACCATTTCATAACACTGAGAGGATGTATGATACAAAACAAGCTCATTTTCTTGTGTTGTCTGTGTATGTGTTTTTTTCTATTTATCTAGCCTCCAATGTCTAGAGCCAGAAAAGAGGTAGTTATGCAAGCTTTTAGGAAGTTAGACAAGACTGGAGACGGAGTTATAACAATTGAAGATCTTCGGGAGGTATATAACGCAAAACACCACCCTAAGTATCAAAATGGAGAATGGACCGAGGAACAAGTGTTCAGGAAATTTCTGGATAACTTTGATTCACCCTATGACAAAGATGGACTGGTAAGTACAGGAGCTTAAGTGGAATTTCTTTTGTCGAATTTGTAATTGTAATTAGGAAATAGGACCAAAGCCTTAAGAAATACGTATAACATATTCTTTATAAATAGAAGTAAAATATTTCCTCAGAGACTATCTAGAAAGTTGGGAGAGAAAGTGATAAGATATATGTGTGTGCAATATATTGGTAAGGGATCCACATACAGCTAAATACCCATCATCTGGAGAATGTGATATTTTGATTCAACACTCCGTTTCATGGTTACCATACTTAACCAGCCACGTTCCAATGAACTAGACTACAACAAAGCCTATTGAACTTCAAAATGAAACCATAATTTAATTTTTTGGAATATGATTCACAAGGTGTTTCAGGAGGTGGCAGTGCTTTTCACGCTCATCCTCACAACATTGTTTATGATCACATTTTGCTATGTAGGAATGCCGTTTAAGGGAGGCTTTCAGTAAAGGGAATGCCAGATAACAGAATTTACTTTGATTTCCTCTATAGTGGGCTTTGAGATTAACTTGCATTTCGAAACTACAATGAACTTAAGAACAAAAGCCACAACCCCACCTCCATTAACTGGTATCTTCAAGTTACAAATGCATAGCTGGGTAGGGTAAGGCATTGTATCTCTGCGACTGTGTCCAGGCTGAGATGACTTTTATCAACAGCCGTGATTGGACTTCTGAACTCGGCCCCAGTTCAGCTGTTAAGTGTCTTGGAGGCTCTGATGATGGGGAAGGGAGTGTTCTCCTTGGCTGACAGTCAGAGCCACAGAACCCTGGGGACGGTTCTTCCTCACCCCCCTGTGTCACACAGCAAGGAACAAAAGATGGCAATGATAGGAATAGGAAACAAGGCTTCCCCTTCTGAAGGGAATTTCCCCCAACTTTTCTATGAAACTTCATGGTAAGTCTTATTAGCAAGGGGTTAGGGGCCTAGGAAGGCAAACTTTATTTCCTTCCTGCTGACATTTTCCTGCTGGGGATGGAGAAATACCCTTCTTTTTAGTTGAGGGGATTACAGAAGTGGATTAAAAGAAAGGGGGGCTGGTGCTCTAGATTCTGTAGGGCAGCCTAATGCTTAGGGACAGAAATAACAGAACTGAACCATATGTTTTCTTCCAACATTGCTGGCCCTTGATCTCTGAAATGGCAGTGGAAAAATAGTCAACTGCCATTTCCCCCAAATTAGCCCACCTCTACATGAGATCCCAGGGTGTACTTGCCTTCTCTCTGCAGGTGGTTCCTTCTCCTCATTGCCAGGGGAAACCTCAGCTGCCCTTTGCTCTAACCCAAGTCAAAGTGGCTGGTTGTTATGATTCAGCTGATTTAAAGTTCCCACCCCTGTCCCTTTGACATTTATTTTAACAAGCCATCTTAAGTTCTCAAATACTCATAAAGGTCAATGGGGTTTTTAGCAGTTACAGCGTTTGGTATCACCTGAATATCACAGACCCTGTATTAATACCCAGCTGACAGTGCATGATCATCATCTGGGGGTATGTTTTAATAATGTACCTTGCGGGGTGCACCACGGAACTACAGAATCTGATCATTTTTGGGTGGAGATCAAGGATTTGCAATTTTAGTAAGTGCCCCAGATGACTCTTATTCACATTCATATTTGAGATCCTTGTCTCTAAAAGATTCAGAAGTGCCTCTTTTTAATTACTACATATAATACGCACATGAACCTCATTTGCATAATTATGGATCTGGATCATTTATTGACTACTTATCTACTGGGTATTGTGCTGAGGGTTTTACAGGGAGATCTCACCAAAAGACATAATGAAAATGTTTCTGAAAAGTGATGTGTGATTCAGACTTTTGTACATTGAATCATATTTTAAATGTGCAAGGAACTGTTGGTGTAAAGAAACTCCATGGTAAATTCTTTTATAAACAGAATAATTAGTTCTTAACTTACCTTTTCCAAATTGAGTTGTTTTACACATTAAGATTTCTTATGGTGAAGCATAGCTACGTTTGAAGCCAGTGCACTCATTTATGGTTAAAAAATATAGCTGAGGGGCGCCTGGGTGGCTCAATCGTTAAGCGTCTGCCTTCGGCTCAGGTCATGATCTCAGGGTCCTGGGATCGAGCCCC